TATATATATATTTTTAATATTAGTTTTTCAACTGGAGTTTTGCCTTATCGCGAAGTATGTTCGTGCCTCTGTATAACATCTTAAATAAAAATAATTTGCTTGTGATTGGGAAATTTAATTTCTTGAAGCAGAAAACCTAAATGTTCTTTAGATGCCAACTTAAAAGGTACTTCGGAACTAGTTTTCTTCTCTTACTCTATGTGCTGGATATTGCATGCCAGTTTCTAAGATTTAATATTTTTATTTAAGATTTATAATATTTAAAAGAGCTACTGACATGTAGTCCCTTAGTTCCTCTTCATTTTAACTGAAACACACTGAAAAACACCTCAATTATTTAGGCAGTTTTATTTGCTACACAAGTTTTCTCCTCTCAGGCTACCATCCCTCCTTGCCAGTGAACCTTGAAATAATAACAAGAAACCTGCTGAGTAGAAAAATCCATTTAAATCACCTCTTAAAAAAAATAAAATCAGTAACTTTTTTTTATTTTCAGCAGTTAGTGAAACTTATATGATTTGTCATTGTAAAATACTTTTATTTTTATTGAGTTAAATTGTGTTTCCAGAACATTCATACATTAACTTTTTACAGATTTACTGTAAGAATTGGCTCACAGATCATAAGTATTAGTGTGTGGTTAAATTTTAGACTGTGGGACAGTTTTATTTTTAAAACTTAATTTTGTAATAGGAAAAATGTGAACGTAAAGAATTCTTCCTTAATAGATACTTCTGAATATATGACAGTATTTAAATAGCCATGTTTTTAATCCAGAAAACAAGTTTCAGCATATGAAAGAAATTAAAATGCTGATATCGAGCTTATCAGAAGTTAGCACGTTTAAATGAATGACGGTTATATATATCTTTGAAAACTTGGATAACCTTCAGTAGGTTGCTTCAGCTTAGGCACAGCTTTGCCACAAAAGCACTGGGGAGAACTAATGGTTTAGACAGTGGAATTTTGCATCAAGCACTTGAATAGCCTTACATTATTTATAATTCAGTAAAACAGGCAATTTATAGTTAACTCTGTGCTTTATTTTAATTGCTTTTCCCTTATCATTTTAGTATGCCTTCAAGACAGTGTGTTGGCCTTCTGGAAACATGGGATGCAGGGTAAAAGCTTCAAGTCAGATGAGGTAAGATTTTTCAACCTCCAGTGTTTTCTGCTAAAGATTTTAAATATTAAAATGTTCATTTTATGCATTTTGTCTATGAACCTACATTACTATGTTTAGTGCCCTTAATGCTGTGACCTGGTAGAGAAAAAGAACCAGTATTTTCCTTTAAACATGTTTTGTATTGTTTTTTTAAATTCTCATGGCCACAAGGAATTACAAAATATGAGCTTATACAATTTTAGTCCTCTAATTTGTAGTTTATAAATACGATTGGTAAGCTTGTTGAACCTAGATACAAATGATTCTTTTTCTAAATTTCATAGCCTTTTCCATAAGGTACAGATGTGTAGCTTCTTTTTTAATATTTTAATTAAAATTCCAAATTAATATTATTAGATTACAGGACTAAGGAAAAATATAAGACAGTAAATATTTACTGAGTACTAAGTACATGCAAGACACTGTTATAACACTGTGAGGCATAACGAAGTATAATTATAAATAATATAAACACCAGGCACTTTACGTACATTTGCTCATGTAAGGCTCAGAATAATCCTATGAGGCAGGTACAATTTGTATTCCCGTTTTTACTGGCATAGAGTGGTTTAGTAATTTGGCATAGTTGCACAACTAGTTAAGTGCCAGTGCCTGGATTTGAAGGATCTCTAAAGTCACTTCTAGCTTAGTTAATCAGCAGGATACGTTTCATACAGGAGAATGGGATTTATGCTCAGCCTTGAGGGATGAATTCTAATAGTTCAAGACAGTACTAACAGAGAAATTTCTCATTTGTGTACCCGTGTAGTTCTTGTAGGCTGCATATTTGTGAACTTATTTTAAATTTCAGAATCTTCTATTTGAATCTACCTTTCATTTTAGCTACATTCTTTTTTATATATAAGTGCGTATTTCCACCTCTTAGATGAATGCAGAATTAGAATGCTTCCAGGAGAAAATAACTTAAACCACCTGTGCTGGAATATATCAGTTTATCTAGTTACTGACCCATATACCTAAATGGTACCAGGTCTGCGAACTTGAGGAAGTTTATAGTCCTACTTACTGCCATAAGATTAATTGTCCTTAAATGCTGCTTTTATCCTGTCATTCCTGTGGTTAAAATTCTACAGAAGATACCTATTGCTCACTTGATCAAGTACAAATTCTATATCCTAACCACTGATTTTTTTTTTTTTTCTGGATTGTAATTTTATTTTTATTGTTGTAGTTTAAGTGAAAGTTTATAATTCAAGTTAGTCTCTCATACAAAAATTTATACATAGTTATGTGACCCTAATTGCTCTCTCTCTACTGTGACAGCACACTCCTCCTTTCTACCCATGATTTCCTGTGTCCATTCAGCCAGCTCCTAACCCTCTCTGCCTTCTCATCTCACCTCCAGACAGAAGCTGCCCATTTAGTCTCATGTATTTACTTGAGCTAAGAATAAGAAGCACACTCTTCATGAGTATCATTTTGTCCCACAGTCCAGTTCAATCTTTCTCTGAAGAGTTGGCTTTGGGAATTGTTTTAGTTCTGGGTTGACCGAGAGTTCAGGGGCCATGCTTTCTGGGGTTCCTCCAGTCTCAGTCAGACCATTAAGTCTCATCTTTTTACTAGAATTTGAGTTCTGCACCCCACCCTTCCCCTGCTCCATCAGGAACTCTCCGTTGTTTTCCCTGTCGGGGCAGTCATTGGTGGTAGCTGGGCACCATCCAGTTCTTCTGGTCTCAGGCTGATGGAGTCTCTGGTTTATGTGGCCCTTTTGTCTCTTGGGCTAGTATTTTCCTTAAGATTTTGGTGTTCTTCATTCTCCTTTACTCCAGGTGAGTTGGGACCAATTGATGCATCTTAGATGGCTGCTTGCTAGCTTTTAAGACCCCAGACGCCATTCACCAAAGTAGGATGCAGAACATTTTCTTAATAAACTTCGTTATGCCAGTTGATCTTGATGTCCCCTGAAAGCATGGTCCCCAGACTCCCGCCCCTGCTACTGTGTCCTTCGAAGTGTTTGGTTGAATTCAGGAAACTTCTTAGCTTTGGTTTAGTCCAGTTGTGCTGATTTCCCCTGTAATGTGTGCTGTCCTTCCCTTCACCTAAGATAAATCTTGTCTGCTATCTAGTGAGTGAATAACCCTCTCCCTCCCCACCCTAGTAACCATCGAAGAATATTTTCTTCTGTCTAAGCACTGATTTTAACTCATCTTGCTTAGCTCTTTCTTTCTGATTACATTCTCATCCTTCATCTTAGGTCTTGCTGAAGTTTTAACTTCTTTCATAAAGTAATAGTCAACTACTCCAGTCCACAATGATTGAAACATACTTGAACTTATTACTCTGAACATCAGCTCCGTCTAGTATAGCACTTAGTTTACTTGTGATTCAAGTTTATTCTGTCTTCCCAGTTAGGCCGTAAATTCCTTGATATTGGACTATTTTCATACTTATTTTATATTCTCGTTGTTTTAGTTTGGGTTCCTCCAAAAGCAGACCCAAGGACAAGGACTCAAGTGCAGGCAGTTTATTTGGTAGTAGATTCCAGAAAACAAGCGATGGCATGAGAAATATAAAATGAGAAGGGGGGAAAAGTCAATAAAATGTGCATTAATAAGCTAGTTCCCACTATGGGCAACTGGGGCTTAATCCCACAGGGACACTAAGGAAGGGTATACGGCGCACCTCAGGATTGACTCACTTGAAGATGAGAGGTGGGCATTTATGCACCAACTGCTATCCTATTTCGGTTATGAGTTGCCCCCGGTATATAAACTTTCCACACTTTGGGGAAGCACCTGCACATGGCTGAGCACCTTCTGTAGCTTTAGAGAAAACAGAGCAGAAGGACCCTGCAGTGTATACTTATGAGACATTGGTGCATGGGAGCATCCACTGTAGCTGTACTGAAATCAGGTAGGCTACAGTGTGCAGTGTAGAGCACCCCAGGCATCTGCACTGTGATATAAAGGAAAGAGCAGGGCTCTGCAGTCAGGCAAACCTGTATTCAACTCTTGGGTCTACAAAGTCACTTAACTTTTCTGACCCTTAGTTTCTTCTTCAGTAATATGGGAATTATAATACATACCCCAAAGGTTCTTCTAAGGAAAGTGCCTGACCCATACTAGATGTTCCATAAATGTTGGTTCATTTCTAATAGGCAGTCAGAAAAAAACTTACTGAAATTTATTTCATTGGCGGAATGGCATCTATCAGAATTATTCATTCTGTTTAATAATTGCTATATCTAAATGGATATTTAAATTATTATTTAAGCAATGTAGGAGATAAGCTATTACTAACATGCGTTTTCTTTCATAGGTTACCCAGGAGATTTCAGACGAAACAAGAGTTTTCCGCTTATTAGGATCAGACAGGTAATAGATTGGTTGTTTTTGGTTAACTACCAAAAGAATTCAAAGGTTGTATGATTAAATATACTGTCAGCTTGTGATGGTGTTTCAAACAAAACTCTGAACAGGGCTCAGCACTTCGAGAAATTTCCCATTATCTTTATTGAGAGAGAGAATAATACTTAAGTCGATTAAACAATCTTTTGTCAGTATGAGGATCATGATTCTAGAGACAGAGTCAACCAAGACAAATATGTTAATATAGGTCTTTATGTCTCTAATAACATGACAGATATTTCAGGCCCCTTTGTTTTCATCATTTTTTCCTGCTATGTTACTTTCTGTTAACTATTACTATATAAATCCAAGAGAATATGCACATCCTGACATTTGCTTTTATGTCAGAAAATGTTCAACTCTGTTTTTGAGGTCAATCTAAATTAGAAAGAATTATGTAGTCTCTTTGTTCAAAATGAAAGACAAGTTACAAATTGTACCTTGTTAGGAAAGAGAATAATGCTCCCCTCAAATCTATATTATCTACCTCTGTGACTAAAAAAGAAGCCTTGGTGGCACAGTGGTAAAGCACTCGACTGCTAATCGAAAGATCTGTGGTTCGAGTCCAGCCGCTCTTGTGGGAGAAAGATGTGGCAGTCTACTTCCATTAAGATTTACAGGCTTGGAAACCCTATGGGGCATTTCTACTCTGTCCTGTTGGGTTGCTGTGGGTCAAAATTGACTTTATGGCAATAGGTTTTGTTTTGTTTTTTATTATGACTAATAAAAGGAGCCCTGGTGGCGCAGATTCTTAAATGCTCAGCTGCTAACCAAAAGGTTGGTGGTTCAAACCCACCCAGTGGCTCCAAGGGAGAACTAACAATCTGCCCCCGTAAAGATTATAGACTAGAAAACCCAGTAGGGCAGTTCTGCTCTGTCACATGGGTCCGAGTCGAAATTGATTCGATGGCACGTAACAACACCAGTGACTAATAAATTACCCATATAGCAAAATTAGCTATAGTAGTATTTATAATCCTAAGGCAAGGATTGAGAACCTCTGGTCTTCAGTTCAATCAAGTCACAAAATCATTGCTTAAATATTAGACAGTTGAGGAAAGGTAGAGGAAAAAGTGGAGTTGTGACTGTATGGAAATTTTACAGACTCTGGTAGAGAGAAAAGGATTCTTTGAAAAATGGCAACTACCTTAGTGAGTAGAAAAGAGCATGGCAACTTAGTAACTAGAGTCCAGCCAAAAAAGAGGAATTTGAGACTACCTGGTAAAGGACTCTAGAACTAGACTGGGAGGCTCATCGCTTCTGTAGGAAGAGCTGACAAGAGAATTGTGTCCAGTGATCCTGATGCAGTTGGCACTTTAATGAGACACATAGTGTAACAGGGTTCTGCTTGGTGAAGGGTGAATCAGAAGCCATTTCTTTGTTCCTTATTGTATTTTGCTCCCTTTCCCCAGAGTTTTTGCCTTCTTCCCTGCTTTTCTATATTGCCTCTCCATTCTCTCTCACTGTTTTCCCTAAAAAACCGCTTTTCTGAGACCATGGATGGCTCTGTTCTAGTTATCTTCTTTCTTAGGCATCTCCTTGAGTTTGAGATGTGTATTTTTAAAAAGTATTTGATTTTAAAAGTGGTTAAATAATTGTTTAAATAGAGAGATTTATGCCTTGAAAAAAACCCTAAATATAGCAAAAATATTAACTGGCTAAGGAGCCCTGGTGGCCCAGTGGCTAAGTGCTCGGCTGCTAATCCAAAGGTCGGCGGTTCACACCCACTAAAGGCTTCTTGGGAGAAAAGACCAAAGACCTGGCAGTCTGCTTCCATAAGAAGTACAGCCTAGAAGACCCCTTGGGGCACTTCTCCTCTGTTGGGTCAGGCACTGTGAGTCGGAATGGACTCGACAGTACACAACAACAACAACCCTGGTTGATTAGATTATAGGTAGTTTTAGTTCCCCTTTTTTCTGTAATGCATAATATAAAGTATGTATTACCTTTTTTATTATTTTCATTACAAAAGTAATACATGCTAGTTGTAGAAAATTCATAAAGTATATGTGCTATTTTCCTCCACATGCATATTTTATTTTGTTCTCAAACCCCACCCCCACCCCCACCCACCACCCCCCACGGTTTAAATACTATGTTATGGCACTTGGTTTTTTTTTTTCTTCCTATCAGTCATTTGATTGGGCTGTTTCCCTGTCCTTGTTCCAGGGACAAGGGAGAGGGGCTCTATTTGATAACTTTTTTGTTAACCGTTTATTTTCAAACACCTGGAAAATAGAACCTTGGATGAGTATCTCTGAGAGTCCTGTTCTGTTCTCTCAGCCCTTCTTCCACCCCCTTCCTGTTAGTGTAAATTCCTGAAGTATTATTATGCCTTTTGGTGGCATATATGAGTGAGCAAATAGTTTTGTTTTATAGTTGCAATGAGGTAATCAGACTGTCCTGAAATATTTAGATTTATAAATTAAGTAATTCTTAATCAGTTGTGTTTTTAAGCTATAAAATGTAAAGCCGAATTTGACTATACTTCTATGATCGTTATATAATGTTATAAGAATGTGAACAATGATATTCTTTCCTGGTTTGATGTTAGTATTTGAAGCATGCAATTTCTGTTTTTACTCTTAAACAAGCCTTTTGTTTTGGTTTAATTGCAGGGTTGTCGTTTTGGAAAGCAGGCCAACAGAAAATCCTACTGCACACAGCAATCTCTACATCTTGGCTGGACATGAAAATAGTTACTAAGCAACAGAAACTGATCTCAAATGATAGGATAATGAATATATTCCATATGAATGCAAAATATTTTAAGGATATTTAGTACAAACTGCACTATGGTTTGCTTCAACTGTTGTGGGTTATCTCAGTGATCTGTATTTTAGGATAGAATTCAATATTTTCTGTAGCTGGAAACAGCTCTTCTATCTCTTGCCACTGTGTGGTGGTTATATCAAGTTTGCTTAATAAAAGCTATGAGACAGAGAGTCCTCTATTTAGTTCCAGGAAACAGTCTTTTTTTAAAAAAAATTATAGTTTGTAACAAGGGTGCCATATTTTTAGATAACAACTTGTGATTATCTTCAGAGAGATAAATTTAGTGACCCATAAACCTGACCCATTGCCACCAAGGCAATTCCGACTCATAGCGACCCTATAGGACAGAGTAGAACTGCCCCATAGGGTTTCCAGGGAGCAGCTGGTGGATTTGAACTGCCGACCTTTTGGTTAGCAGCCGAGGTTTTAACCACTGTACCACCAGGGCTCCAGTTTAGTAACAGGTTTCTCATTTTATACCATGTCCTATTCCTCCTTAATACCATGTCCTGTTCCTCCTTAATGAACGTAATTTGATAAAGAAATTACCAAACAAGGCTTTCATTTTTACATTGGCCATTCTGTATGTTTTTGTAAAATAGAATATTTAATCCTTATTTATTAATCTCTTGCTGGAGTGGTGTAATGTATCTAACTTTTAGCAAAGGAGGGTTGCAGAGCAGCTTAAATTTTTTTGTAATGTATAAAAAGTTTACCTTTTAGGAGTAGTACTTCAAGGGGTTGAAGGCAGTGTGTTTGGGGGTTCAATACATCCATGCAATTTTGTTTAACAAAAGTATCTTGTAATTTCATGCAGAATTGCCTTAAAAGGGAGTTTCATGTTTTCAACTTCTAATAGTTGTAGGGGGTCATACAGAAGATATTGATGACGGTTGAAATATTGGAAGGAATATATATGTCTAGGTGTGACTACCATGCGTATGTACTCTTGACAAGCAGTATACTATACCTGTGATTTTTTTTTACATTAGGGATAATGCATAAGAAATTAATCTTCATATATATTATCATCCCTAATGTAGGAGAAAAAAGTATTTAACTGTCCATGATATGTATTTTACTTATAGTATACCAGAGGGAATAACTGTAAAGCAACTACACGTGTAATCATGGGGTTTTCACATATGTAGTTACTCATTTTGAGTAGGTTTAAGGAAAAAGAAAAACTTTAAATGAAATTGAATTCCTGAAAGGATAAGATAAGTAAGTATTATAAAAACCAGTATTCAAAAAATAGGAGAGGATAGGGCCATCTTTGGGTTTGTTTTACTTGTGCTATTGTTATGTTAGTATTTAAAATTCAAGTGTCACATTGGTACCTGCTGTCTTAATGAGTTTATTTAGTTAGCATTGAAATGCTGAATAAGGGATTAGCAATAGCAGCAGTCTACAGATTTTTTCTGACCAGTTACTTGAGGGAAAACAGTATAACTATCTCATTCAATCTTTTACCAGTTTTGTAAAAATAAGTATTATCATCATCTCCACTTTTCAGACAAGGAAATATAGGCTTAGCAAGGTTAAGAGACCTAACTCAATTCACACAGCAAGTTAGTGGTTGAGCCAGACCTTGAGTCTTCTGACTCTGTTCTTTTCACTATGCAATATGCAAACAAAATGTTGTACAAATGCAGTATTAAGTATTTGTCCTTAAAAATGCACATATGATATGATTTCAGTAAGTATGTGGCTGTTTATTTTGGATATGTTAAATGGGGCCTCTGGATTGAGGGACACTGGATACAATAGATGGCAGGGGGGCCATAGTCAAAACAGGGAACACTTACATACTGGATACAAAGACCAACAGCCTCCTCTCACTCAGTCCTGGCAGCCAGATCTTCACAATCCTATAAAAATATTGGAAGGCTCTTTTCTGTGAAATCTGAGCAAACGCAAGTGGAAATACCTAAGATCCTGATGTCAGAAGTGTCCTGGCTAAATGGCCCAGCTAGGTAACTGTACAGTGAAAGTCACAGTTTATATGCCCACTACCCTGGTGTCCAGGGCTTGCAGTTAGTCTTTTAGTCCTGTGCTATTAAAAATGAGCAAATAATCAAGTTATAAGACATCTGAGAAAGCCTCTAACATGAAAGAGAAAAAAAGCAGAGGAAACAGACTACACAGAGTAAAGAAAAATGTCAAAAAAAAAAAAAAAACTCCTTCAGAAAAATGTTGCTACCATGAATCAGGATAGTAAAAAAGGATCATTGAAAAATAAAGAGTTCTTGGGGAAAAAAATGTGATAGCATAACTGCATAATTTGATACAAGGTTCAGAATATAAACTTGAGGAAATTTCTTAGAAAGTAGAACAAAAAAGACAAAGAAATGGGAATATTGGAGGAAAAGTTAAGAAAATTAACAGTCCAGGAAGCCCAATATCCAATCTCCCAGAGTTCAAAGAGAAAGAACAGAAAGCAGAGGGGAACAAATCAACAGTATTTCAAGAAATTTTTCTAGAACTGAAGAACATCTGATCCTAGATTGAAAGAACACAGTGAATGTAATAGATCTGTACCAAAGCACATCATTGTGAAATTTCAAGAACAGCGGGGTCAAAGAGAAAATCTACTGTTTCCAGAGAAAATGGGCAGGTCGATACCAAGGAATAAGTATCAGAATAGCTTCAAATTTCAACAGAAGCAATGCCTTCAAATTTTTGAAAGAATTATTTGCAACCTAAAATTCTGTTATCCAGTAAAGTATTAGTAAATGTCAGGGTAAAAAAGGGCATAAACTAAGTAAAATGAAGGCATACGATACAGAAAATGGGATTCAGCATAAGAGAGAGATAAAGGAAATCCCCAGGTGATGGTGGGATATCCAAGGATGACCACTACACCAGACATAGAGAACATATCGGGGAAAGGTATCAGAAGCTCTGTATTTTAAGAGACACCTCAGTATCTTAAGAGACAACTACCAAAGAGGGAAAGATTCCTTCTAAATCAGAGCCTGAGGCAAGAACATCGGTACAGGTAGTTTATTTGAGAGACCCCAGAAAATAGGGACATCTGAGAATGGGAAGGCGGAAGAGTCAATATAGGAGTACATTATCGAAGTCATTGCTGTGTCGACAAAAAGAGCTTGATTTTACTAGGTCCTCTGAGAAGCATACCTCTCAGAATTGTCTCCTGAAAGACAAGTGGCTGGAGCATTTATCCACAGACTTCCCCTCCCCTCAATTGAGAGTTGCTGCCAGGGGCATTATCTCCTGAACTACCAAGCTGCAGCTTGCACCTAAGACAAGTAGACTCCTTCAGTGTCAGAGAAGTCCCTGAGGCAGCACACTGAAAAATAGTATGAGTCCGAGCTCACACTGAACTGTCCACTGCCTTTGTGGCTAAAATCAGAGGTGGGCGGAGGGGATGTTATTCAAGGCACCAGGATTCAGTCAGTGTTGATGTTGATTCTAAGCATATACTTAACTAAGACTTAAATCTAATAAAACTGGCAGGAACTCCAGGGAAGCAAAATGTTAGGAAAAAAAGAAAAAGTAATCTATGACTGTGGTTGAATGGCATAATAATGTTAACGTTATTAATCTGATCAGAATTACAGCAATTATAGTGGAAGAGGACATGGTGTTGTGGAGGTGAGGTAGAAAAGTGATCTAAATCCTCATCTTCCATAGTGGGTATTCAATGGATAATATCTAATTTCTCCAGCTAGCAACCTGCAGAAGAGAGCTTGTCCAGTGGCAAGTGAATTCCAAAGGTCCAAGAAATTGTCCCACACTAATCCTAGCAAAAGGAGTTGTGTTCTAGATTTTACAAAGAATTTCAGACTGTTCCAAATGGATCTTACTTAGAAGAAAAGCAAGAAATACTAAGAATTTACTATGTTGACAACAAGAATGAGTCAAATATTCTCACTGTCACCACTTGTTATTCATTGTACTTGTGGCCGTAGCCAGTTTAAGAAAACTAAGAAAAAGAAAAGATAAAAGGATTTGGAAAGGAATAAAACTACTATTTTTACTAGAATTTATAATTGAATTTAGAAAAGCAGCTAGATGCACTGTCAATATAAAAACTAATTACACATCTATATACCTGCAATAAAATAAAAAATTGCAAGTATACTGTTCATAATATAGAAAACCATTAAATACCTAAGAAGAAATACCTAAAAGATGCAAGGTCTCTATGCTGAAAACTATAAAATGTCAATGAACGAAATTAAAGAAGACCTAAATAAATTGCAGATTTATGCCATGTTAATGAATTAGAAAATAAGATACTATAAAAACGTCAATTTAAAGATTCAGTGTGATCCCCAGCAGATATTTTTGTTGAAATTGTAAGTTGATTCTAAAACATATAAAAGGTAAAGGGTCAGGAATAGTCAAGGAAATCTTGAAGAAAAACAAACCTAGGGGATTTAGACTATCAAGAATGAATGCAATACCACTACAAAAAAAAAAAAAAGAAGCACAATGCAATACTTGTGTATGCCCACCAAATGGCTCAAATGAAATAAAGAGGGGGAAAAAAGGACAATATGAAATGTTGGTGAGTATATGGAGCAACTGGAACTCTTATACACTGCTGCTGGTAGTGTAAATTGGTACAATCACTTTAGAAAACTAAAGCTAAACATACACATACCCTCAGCCCAGCAATTCCACCCAAAAGACATATTCAACGAAAGTCATAAAAAAGATTCTTTATAGCAGCATTATTCATATTCGCCAAGAATTGGAAACAACCCAAATGTCCATCTGCAGTACAGTGGATGAATAAATTGTGGTGTATTCACAACTCAAAATACTGAAGAAGAATAATAAGAATGAACTATCCACAATAATATGGATTTGAATCTCAATAAGTACATAAATGATATGATCCAGAAATTAAGAGGACACTGTCTAATTTCATTTATATAAAGTTCAAAAACAGGCAAGCTAATCTATGGTGTAAGAAGTGGGGAGGAGTGAGGGAGTAATGATTGAGAAGGGGACAAGAGAGAGTGCTTTGGGAATGCTGGAAATGTTCCATTTTGTATCACTTTGTGATAACTCAGCACGGTGTACTCGTGATTTATGCATTTTTCTTATGTGCTTGTACTTCAATAAAAATATTTATTAAAAAGAAACTGTGCCATGTAACTTGCAGTTGGGAGGGGGGGAATATATCAGTTTCCACATTACCCCTGTAATGTAGGTTCTTATAAATGAGAAAACCAAAGAGATTATCTATTGTCACAGATTGAGTTCTCCAGAAGCAGGCATCAAGATGGAATCACAAGTACAAAAGATTTATTGAGGGAAAACACCTGTGGAGAATAAAAAGCAGCAGGAGTACGTGGGGAGACCTGAAGTGTCAGACTCTCTGACACACACGTAATGAGAAGGGGAGGAAGGAGGATGTGATAGAGCCTTAGGCTGCAGTGCAGCTCTGAGAACATCTTGGCCAGGTTAATAGCCCTAGTGCAAAAATTGCCTGCTAGAATCCCATGCTGGAAAAGAGTATCTCAGCTTTCAAATGGCTTAGCTTGCAAATCCCAGTGAGGCTCAGCCATTAGCTGGGAGCAGCCCGGAATGCTGAGGTGAATTTGAAGGTTAATTTCTTGCAGCAGGTTCTCTTTTGAGATCCAATCAGCACACATCCATAGCTGCCACAGTCATACGTTAAGTTAGGTGGGAGGTTAGGAATCAATCCCATCTGTCCAAGACCTACGAAATGTAGCTCAGATATCTAAGAAAACCATTAAACCAATCCATATCTCTAAAGGAAACAGTATTTGGTAACACAAAGATGACAGTGAAAGGCATTCTAGGCAGAGGGTATTGTATCTGAAATAAGCATAATTGAGAAACTCCTGTATCAGAGTTCTTTGGTTGCAAGCAACAGAAAGAAAAAGCTGAGGAACTGGCCTCAGAAGAGATTAGGCGGCAGCAGCCAAGGATGGCCCTTTTAGGCCCTCTGGAAGAATCCACTCCAAAAGCGGTCTGCCCTGTGTCTTTTCCATTCAAGATTGATTCCTTGTGAAGAAAATCTGTTTGGTCTGGCTTTGGTTACATGTCTATCCCTTGGCCATGGAGGGTGAGGTACTTTGAATAATAATCCCACCAAGACAGATACCCAAAAACAAAAGGAATGGATGTTGGGCTCTCTACAGAAGGAGAAATGGTAAAAGCAACAATTGTCCTATGTAGCTATAAGCCACCACTTGGTGAAGCTTAGAAAAACACTCCTCATAGTGAATGAAATGGCTTATTAAATCATGATCTTCAACCACAAGTTCTTTCCTGAGTAATTTTGTTAAGTGTAAGATTTAGCACTTTCTAAGTCTGACATTTAATTTTGGATATATGACTTCATCCTGGTGATGTTTCTGAAGTCTAAATCTTCCCGGATTAGTTACTTCTCTGTGGTTGTCTTGTGATGACCGAAGGACACAAGAGAATCCAGTGACCTATGTCAGTAACTGAGCACCTGCCACGGCATCTCAGCCACTTGACATCTAAATGCTGTATATAAGCTTTGACTCCATTTCAAGCTTTAGAGTGTATAATTATTTCTTAGTTTGTGGTTTCTGAAAACCCACAGTGGATACCAGTGTCCACTGAAATTCTTTAAAGCCCAGTTCCAAAGTCTCCTCCAGGATGCAACAACTTATTGTGCATCCTTTATTAAAGCATCTATTACTCATATAATTGGTAAATTTTTTTTCTCAAGGACAAAAAAATGACATCTATATTTGAATCTCCAGCTCCTAACAGTTCCTGACACATTGTAGATGTTTAGTAAATGTTTGCTGTATTAAACTATAACAGAATGAATATTTTGAGTCAGTAATGAAGTAACTCATTCATGGCTATAACTCTAAGACCATTTTCTTTGACTCAAGAGTCTAGCTTCTGTAAAATGTAGATAAATTGCAAACACCTGCCAGCTTTCTGAAAATGAGGAAAGTCATGTGAGTAAATTATTTAAAAAATTATATTATGACCTAGGTGTATCAGTCAAGGTCTGGGCAACAAAACAAATCACACTAGGTATTTCAATAGAGGGGTGTTGGTAGAGGGAATTATTACTACCATGTACTGGAGGACTGAAAAAGCAAAAATGGGACACAAAAGTAACTCAGGTAACAACTGCAGGAGGCAGTTACCCCCTATAGGGTTGGAGGACAAAGGGTAAAGATTAAGATTACTAGCACCTGGGAACTCAGAGAAGACGACCCACAGAATTGGGCCCTAACCTCTGAGGAGGGGCTGCTGCCCAGCCACTGGCTCATCAGGAGCTCAAAGGAAGCACCCCATGATGTTGGGGCTCAGGAGAGGGAGCTGCCTGGCTGCTGCCAATACCTCTGAGGGGGTATAATAAAGCTGGTTCTGGAAGGGATGAAAGAATCTAGAACTATAGGGAACTTCCGCTATTAAGAAACAGGGAAGATTTTTCCTCCTCCTACTCTCCATTCTCCTATTGTCTCCAATTGGTGAAACCTAACAAAGTCAGCTGGCAATGCATTTTGGGAAATACCGTTTGCAGCGTTCCAGCCCCAGCATCACAGAACAGAATATAGAAGTGTCATTTTGGAGCTAAAAGACATTAAATAGGTAAATACCATAATATTTCCGGGGACAATATTTGAGCCAGATTGTTACGCAGGCTAGGAAACCACTTGAAATGTAATCCCAAAAAGAAGGGCTAACATGCCACCTAGAACAATGCAAATAGCAGGAATGTCACCTGTTAAATTATATCTGTCATTTTCCCATAACAGCTTATTTTCTAGTATATGTAAGGTTAGAATCAAAGGCACTAAATGGAGGTATAATTGCTTTATGGCTATTTTACTGTGGCCTTTCATCAAAGCAGTGCTTTTTAGGAAGACTGAATAAGGAAAAGACTCATGATATTTATTGACAACTAATGTGTAAATAAATTTTTTCTGTAGATTATTTTTCTTTGTATTTTTTACGTAATTCTCTGTTTTCACAAGAGCAATTGGGAACCAAAAACTTCAGTATCTGGTATAACAACAATAAACTAATATGCCTGATATATTTCTTGAAATTAACAAACTCTGATCTAATCAATTGTGATTAGCTGAAGTGTTACCGGGTGGAAATCCCAGGTTCTTGCTCAGCATGGCTCATATTGGCCAATAAATGAGAGACCAAGGTGGGAGAACAGGAAGGTCACCTTCATTTCATTGTACAAGGAAAAGGAGTCAGTCGAAGCTTCTGCTGCCAAGACTGTTCCCCTAGGGCAGGCAGGCAAGTTACTTTTAAGGGGTTTACAACGAGGGAGTTCATACAAGTTACGTCAGCAATATTCTTAATCACACAACACAGGCGCAATGATGTTTCCATATAACCTTCAAGCAAAAGCAGGATTCAAATGTAAAGCTGGGGGCAGGAGGAGGGGGGAAGCCCAGCAAAGGAAACAGAGTTTTTAATACGACACTGTGGGGGCTCTGTCTCAAAAATATGGCTACTCAGACAGTCTATCTTTTCATTATGATTCCAGATTTACCTTAGTTGTGGAACTTTTGTTTGAGGGACCAATGTTCCTATAGGTATCATCTAAAGCAACTATTATAATTTCTGAACATTCCTTTTTGGAATAAATCAGGGAAATGAATACCAGTGAGTGAACAATGCACTAAAGCCCTCTCCTAGTGGCAAGATCTAGTCCCATCAGTTAAATTTAGTCCCATCAGTTAACATTTATTCAAATTTTAACCAGGTACCTACTATGTGCCGGAGCTCTGGTGGTGCAGTGGTTAAGTGTTCAGCTGCTAACCAAAAGGTTGGCAGTTCGAATCCGCCATTCAGTCCTTGGAAACCCTATGGGGCAGTTCTACTCTGTCCTATAGGGTCGCTATGAGTCGGAATCGATTCGACGAGAACAGGTTTGTTTTTTTTTTAAACTATGTGCCAGACAGTATATTGTTAGACTATTTCTGTCATGTCGTTGTTGTTGTTAGGTGTCGTCAAGTTGGTTCTGACTCACAGCAACTCTGTGTAACAATAGAACGAAACACTGCCTGGTCCTGCACCGTCCTTGTGATCACTGTTACGCTTGAGCCCATTGTTGCAGCCACTGTGTCAATCCATCTCATTGAAGGTCTTCTTCTTTTTGGTGACCCTCTACCAAGCATGATGTCCTTCTCCAGGGACTGGTCCCTCCTGATAACATGTCTAAAGTACATGAGATGAAGTCTTGCTATCCTCACTTCTAAGGGGCATTCTGGCTGTACTTCTTCCAAGACAGATTTGTTCCTTCTGCTGGCAGTCTATGGTATATTCAATATTCTTAGCCAACACCATAATTCAAATGCATCAGTTCTTCTTCAGTCTTCCTTATTCATTGTCCAGCTTTTGCATGCATATGAGGTGATTGAAAATACCATGGTTTGGGTCAGGTGCACCTTAGTCCTCAAGGTTACATCCTTGCTTTTTAACACTTTAAAAAGGTCGGTTGCAGCAGATTTGCCCAATGCAATATGTCAT